CTGCACACACGTTCTGCGTCTCACAGAGTGGCTTTGGTCCCTGTTCGTCCATGTCGTCCCCCCTGGCCATGTCCAGCCTGGCTCAGGGTCAGGGTGGCTTTGTGGACACCGAGTTTGATCCCAGCGTCTTCCGCAGTTACACGCTCCCAGCCGCTCTCTCCCGAGTCCGCAGGCCGGGGCCTTCCCTCTAGGCGCCTCTTCCTGTCACGTGCAGACGCCTGCAGACCTCCGGCCTCCTCGGTCTCTCCGGGAGCCTTGGCCCCTGAGTTCTGCAGGGTGTGAGTTGCCGTGGATTTAGTCGGTCAGCCAGGAGTGGAGGCCAGCGGGAGTCCTTCTGGCCTCTGGCTTGTCTTTGTGATTTGAGAAGCAGGGTCATGGCGCAGGGCAGGGTTGGCAGGACGACTGCTCTGTCCAGATGTCGCCCTCTTTGTCGCCTGCGTGTGGCCAGGCTCCGGTGGGGCCCTGGCTGTCCACGCTCTGGGCAGAACCCGCCCGCCCCTTGGGCAGTAGCCGAGCTGGGCTCTGGGCGGGCTGGCTGTCGCAGCCCCTCCCGCCTCAGGCAGCTTCTTGCACTAGACCTTTCCCGGAAAGCTCTGTCCTCAAAGGGCTCCTCAGGGCAGATGGGCTCCTCATGGTCCTCTCACAGTCAGCCAGGCGTGTCCACCCTGCTGAGTATGGGCCTCATGGGAACAGTGCCAGGGGCGGGGTCTGGCCATGTGAACCCTACGCCCGGCGCCCACGGGGTCAGGGCATCGTGGCTTTGTTTTTCCTGTGGCAGCTGCCACTGTCCGTGGAGCGCAGCTTCTGCCCCGGTCCCCACGGCCTGGCCGCCGGGCAGCTCCAGGTCGCCAGCCCCTCCTGGCATCACAGGGCCCTGAGGCCGTGGCCCCGTTGGCTCCAGCAGCCCTGGGGCCTCCTCTCTCCCGGCCGGGAAATTGCCAGGGGTGGCGGTTGCTTTCCCTGCCTGACCGGAAGCCCGTGGGGCCGGCTGCGTCCACGGTGGCCCCTCGGCCC